TTCTTTTCGTCGACACGGTCTTGACTCAACAGCGGAAGCACTCGCGTGACGTGTTACCGTACACCGGAGTGATGGGCAGTGGCAGTGAATGAACCCATCCCATCCATTTGGGCGGGAAATGGAGTCGCCGCGCAGCGGACGTGGGGAACCTTCGGGATGTGGACCTTGGCAAGTCATGACCCGTCGATGCGTATTTTGCAGCATGATGATGATGAGCCTGTTGCTTCTCTCTCCTCCTGTTGATGCAGACCTGGGAGGTTGCGCATTGTCCAAACGGCAATAATACGTGCTCTTCATTCCCGGCAATCGGCAGCCGTTCAAGCCCGGAAGCAGACTAGACTCCAGCCACGCCGACTTCTTTAGAAGGAAAAAAAGGGTATTCGCACGCGCTACTGTCCAGGACAAGCGCCTCTTCAGGGCCGGCGGAACGCCCAGGAAATGGTAACACGGATACAACGGAATCGAAACACAGCACACGCACACACAAGAGTACATCCATCCATACAGCAACAATGACAATGGAGACCTGAGATACTCAATGCTGAGTGTCTGCCGCCAACCCGCCAGCCTCTCTGACGGATGTACGTCGTGTTTCCGTCGTCTGCAAAACCCCCTGATTCTCATTCTCCTCTCAATCCGCCGTTGCATACGGTTCTCCCGCCCGGCTGCCCCCCGTCGCAGGGCCCTGGCACCTGGGAAAGCAAAGCCGCAGCCACACAGACGTTCACCCTCACCCCCCGTTCAGATGACGGTCCCCACTGAGCTTACGACGACTGCACATCAAAGCAAGGATGTCCAGCAACGTCCACCACCGCAGCAACTGGAGCTCGCTCCCCGGTTCATCCCAGGTTTAGGGATTGTCGACGTTCGGAGGCACAAGCCATCAGACGCCTGGCGAAAGCCTCTCCCGCCCTTCTCCCCGTCCAATCACTGTCTGTATGCGGCCGGGATGATGGTGAATGTCTCCTTGCGGCTTCGCCTCCAAATAGCAATGAGCGCTAAACGGGCTTTTGTATTATCTTCCCCGTAGCCGTAGCCGTAGCCTGCCGACAAGGAGACGGGTTGTATGTACACCACACCACGTACGTGTACCGTAGCTACTGCGCCCAGAACAAAAACGCTGCTGGGCCACATCCCGCTTCGTAAGAGGGACGGGGAAGTAAGAAGAAAAAGACTGGAGAAGGGAACCACACCATATGCCCCCCTCCCTCCCCTTCCCCTGGTCTGATGCGCGCCGAGTGAGGGTCTGAGGGCCCTTTTTGAAGTCACCATCTTCCCCGTCTTCGTCGGCTCTCTGCCATGTTCCGTTGCTGCCAATCCTTCTGAACAAAACCCTTATTCACTGCATACCCGCCCACAGTGACGATCACTTCTTGCAACTTTCTTCCTTCTTTTCTTTGTTTGTTCTCTTGTCTGCTGTTTTTTATTCTAGAAAGTTACCCCAGACCGAACAAAAAAGCTTCGAGATCATCCGGTCGCCAGCCCAAACATTCCCGCCTTTCCCGCCCGGCTCGTTTTTCTTGGCAGCAATTGACTTTTTGTTGTCTCTCGACTGCCGGCTTGGCACTGTACCACCATAAACGTTGTAACGTCAGCACACGACAGACTTCCCATTTGGGCAGCTGAGGTGTTACCGCGCGGTATAGAGCAATAGAGAGGAACACCGACGACTAAACATCGACGACTCAGCGAAGGCATCAAAGCAGATTGATTTATTGGGAAAAAGAAAGGGAAGGAACAATCGAAGAAAGAACATCCCCGGACAACGCCTTCTTTGGCCCGACCGTCGATACTCATCACGTCAAAAACCGACGAAAATCTCCATTTTGAGAGCCATATCGCCAACACTAAACCGACATATCGACACCGGAAAAATCATGTCGAAAGAACTCCCCCGCAACGAGCGGCGGTCCTCCTCCCCATCCAGCCTCGGCGGCGGAAGCCCGTTCGACTGTAACCTGAGCCTCAAGACGCTGCTTGGCTTCATCTCAACACGAGTGCTCCGCGGCGGACCGCGCTTCGTTATCCAAGTCATCCTCGCGCTCTTCGCCCTCATCGTGTTGGGTAGATTCTTCACATCATCATCATCAGACCTTATTAACGCACCGAAATGGTCGTGGTCACCTTTCGGCGGCAGTTCCGAGGATGCTAACCTGGCTGGCGGTGTAAGAGTCGTCACTTTTGGATCTCCCGATATTGCGACGCCTGTCAACGGCAAGGGCAAGGGATGGACCGAGATGTTCTGCGAGGAGGTAAGCTGTTTCAACATTCTGAAAAATCTCGTGTCACTAACATGGCCCAGCTCGGATGCTCCGCCCACCACTCCTTCGTCCCCAAGATCAGCCTCCCCGCCCAGGCTCTCACCGCCCACGAGCACTACAACGAGACCCTCCAGAAGGTCCTCCGCGAGCTCGAGCAGGAGAAGGCACCCGGCTACGACTACGACTTCATCCTCGAGCAGTTCCCCCTCGCCGGCGCCATCGCCGACCTCGCCGCCCAGGTCGACCAGTTCCTCGCCCAGCCCCAGGAGCGCTACCTCCCCAAGGAGACCATCTGGGTCTTCAGCTTCGGCACCTGGGACGTCTGGACGCTCGCCGCCCTGCCCCGCGACCTCGGCCAGGGCATCGTCGACCTCGCCGTGCGCGCCCTCTTCGCGCAGGTCGAGCGCGTGTACCAGGCATCCCTCGACACCAACTCGGTCGCCTTCTCCGATTTCTGGGCCTACCAGGGCGCCGAGCTCATCGACAAGTTGAACGCGATGGACGCGCAGGGTGGCGAGGTCGACGAGCGTGAGGTGGAGAACTTCAGGGTCGTGATTCCCGAGATCTTTGATGTTTCTCTGACCCCCGGATGGCACGCGCAGAGACAGAGCCCGCCAGGTCCGCACACCAAGGCCGAGCAGATGACCAACGCCGCGCACCTCACGTCCCGCTGGAACTCCGAGATCCGCGGCCGGCTGGACGAGTGGACGCGCACCGCCGACCCGCAGCCCAAGGAGGGCGAGGAGCGCGGCCAGTTCGGGTACGTTCCCGCCAGCCAGCGCCGCTCACCTAAGCTCCGACGCGGCGTGAAGGGCATGGAACCCCCCGCCGAGGGCGACGCGCTGCGCGTACCCTTCCCGCGCCGCGTGGGCGCGCAGGTGAACCACGCCGAGTTCGTCAGGGAAGCCATCGTCGAGCGTCAGATGCGACAGCACGGGCTGACGGACTCCGTCGGCCGCGGGAACAGGACCGAGCAGGACCGTGGTGTGTACTTTGCCGAGACGTGGACGCCGTGCATCTGGGCGAAGACGAGCGAGACGCCCGAGGTAGATGGCGGGTTCTCTGCCTGCGACACGCCGGGCGATTACCTGTTCCACTCGCCGTTCACGCTCAGCGAGCGCGCGATCCAGGAGGCTGCGAAAATTGCGGCGGCGGACGCGCGGGAGAAGCTTGCGTTCGTGGATGCTGTTGTGGAGAAGGAGAGGGAGCAGTTGCTGGGGGGTGGAGAGCAGGCGGCGAAGGTGAAGAGGAACGAGAAGAGGGGCGCGAGTACTTTCCAACGCATGGTGAAGCCGAATCACGCGTTGAGGATTGTGGAGTCGGCGTGCCCTACGTTGGATGTCTGCTAAGGAGGGGATTGGAGATTCTGTTGGATAAATGATGGTTTATTGGCATTTCACGGCATTGGCGTTTGGGATAGGAGGTTGGCACTCGCCATGGCATAACGCCCTCAACGAAAGGGCTGGACGGAGTTCAGGGTTTCCTTCTTTCAAAGACAGATACCGGGGATCATTATCCCGATGGTCATAGGCAATGGCACTTCTCAATGTTCAATCGTTGAAAATATGCGTCGCGATGATGTCGAGTGGTGTAGGGGAGAAGGGTGCTCTGTCCCCGATGTTACTTATATCGGTGAATGGTGGCACTCTGTCACTCCCCTTCCACAGATGTATAGGTTGCTGGGCGTCTGCGGTCTGGGGGTACTGAGGGCATGGGACTGACACTTCTTTGTGTGAATTTAGGACCATCGGTTCGAGCCTCCATATCGGATTCTCTTTATGCCACTTGGGCTGTTTTTATATTGTTCTTCCGATTCACCATTTTGTCTCGTGATCGCGGCCGGCACCAACCAGTGGCTCGGATCCGAAAGTTGGACCTACAGCGCGGGCCGTCCACGGAGTTTCCGTCCGATCTCTTCAGTATGCTCACGCAGTTGGAGAAAAGGTCAAGGAAGTTCCAATTTTTCGTTTTGTAGGTGTTCATTATTGAGCATAATCCTCTAGCCGTGAAATGAGTGTTATCCAACGAACAAGACCTTTTTCTCATAGCACGTCGTTGTTACTAATTGTATCCCAGAAGATCATCCGTGACCTGCTCTGGAACGGAAATACTTCACCAAAGTCGGCATATAACTCTGGTGTTTATTGGTTGCGTTGGAGATAATTATGAACTTCTCTACAGACATCTTCATCTCTACAAAACTAACGAGTAGGAATATTGGCTCAATCTCGTCAGGTTCACAGGGCTGGGGCCTTTGGCAGCCGCCTGTATTGAACCTTTGCGCACCGAAAGAAGCAGAGTAATCCGGAATTATTCTATCGACGTTCCTTCGTGAATATACGCACGAGCTGAGGAACAGTGATGCCGTAACGCATGGCGAATGAAATCAACGCCTGCGTCACTCAGACCAAGCTACCCAGAATCTACTTGGGGATTCCCACGACACCAAGCATCCGGCATCGTGATATCAAGGATCATTCTTTCGCACAACGTTCGACAGCGACGACACTCATCGCACGTATACAGAGACGCTATGAGTCTCGATCACACACACATATAATGCCCATGAGCCATTCTAAATGACTTCGGTAGAGCTTTCACCACGGGGGAGGGGCATTATCTACGATCATTTGCAGGGACTTTAGGGTCTGGGGTGGCATTTTCAGCACACAAGGTACGATTCCGCGATAGGGGATACGTCAAAAAGAAGATGCATGGAACGCCATCGGAGCAGGGTTCATGACTGGAGGCCCCCTGGCAATCCGTGGCGGCTATCACGCAGCCAAAACAGGCGCTTTGGGGTGCGCCCTCTTGCTTGCGGTGATCGAAGGCGTCAGAATCGGATTTCAAAGAATGATGGCGGGTAGTACGAAGTTGGAGGTTGGTTCGTCACCTATGCCATGATTCCTTTTGCTAATAATCGCTCAGGCACCTACGGCGCTGGGCCATCGATGAACGAGCTGGCAACGGCCTAAATCTGCTTTCACATCGTCTCGAGCTCTGACTCCCTGTACCATACCATTCAAGATACCCAATCTCTTCTCTTTCAAGATGATATCGCGCTCGCTGTGTCGCTTCCGGTGAAAAGTCTGACATGACGTGATCAGCTGGACAGATACTGAAAAGTCCGACAACGCCGACCTTTGCGTCGGAAGTGCTACACGCACCCCGACTCGATGTACTGATCAGGTGGTGCTGCGAAGCTGATATGGGGGCGGAGGGCTACATGGAAGATGACCAGCTGCCGAAATTCCGCTTTACTCAGCGTAGACGCAAAGCAAAGCATGATGGAAGGAGGTCGGGCAAACGTTGGGGCATTGAAAATCACTGCGATTTGCTGTGCAAATGTCTCACAAGCTGGTCATTGGTGGACAACAGCATCAGCAGGAGCGTCGACATGATTGGACTGCGTCGAATTGTGTTCCTGCCGATCTTCCCGCAGAAGCTGACAACTGCAACAACAACACCATCGCGGAAGCCCCCCACAACAGCGTCTCACGAACTAGACGGATCCATCTATCCCTCTTGCGGCGGCAATCTCTGTTCAACGTTTGGGAAAGAATTCCTTGTCTGGTGCTGCCTATCTCAGCCACTCGTAGGCTGCGGTATGAGTCGAAAGCACTGCCCGAGAAAGCGAAGCACAGTGAACGTGATCCCAAGTTTTGACCGCGAAAAATACTGTCCGCGAGTTCGCAGTCAATATCCGCATGCACGCACCAGGGTCAGCGCCACACATGCCTGTCTAGGCAGTAATTACGACCATTCAACTGCGCCCGACTAAATTTACATGACGTGTCTTCGTGCTGGGTGAGATGGAATGCTACCCCACGCTGCAGCCCAAGGCCAAGTGATCCTGCCGATGAGGGCTTACGGCCATCTTCAATGAGTAGCCAACAGCGACCGGTGAAGAAGCGACCTCACGGCTTGATCTAGCCGAGGTGTGTCCAGCCATGACTTCCATCAGACTGAAGTCCTTCCCAGCAAGCTCGACCTGACTGCAGCGGTTCGTCCCATTGGGGCAACTTCATGTCCATCTATTTCGGGTCGACCCGACATCTAGAGCCGCCCCCGCGAGTCCTCGCGATGTCGGCAAGCTTCTTCCGCGCCCGTCCCATTTTGCTACTATTGACGCAGAAACGCGGCGTTCGATGGTCAGCTCCAAGCGACCGCATCCCTCCGTGCAACCCTGTCTTCCCGCGCACGCGATCCTTCCAGAGTACGGGGCATCAGGCGCGTAAAAAGGACGCCGCAGCGGCGGAGATGAATCAAGCTCCACTGCAAACCCCATTCATGCCGAAGAAGCCCAAGATGCAATGCACCTGACCAGCCACGAACCCCCGCTTTCTCACGCGTTTTGAGATAACACGACTTGCTGTTCCCGCCTGTAGGGCTGATGCGGTGAGACTCGAAGGATGGCGTTGTGTGCTACCGTGGGCGGTGCCTGTTCGCCAGCACTGCCTTCATGTCAACCTGTGGCGCGAGTACAGACTCAAAGGTGAGGATTTGAGGCTATTATCGTGATTATTTTCCCAGTTGATTGTTGCGATGTATAAAGTGAGACGTATGCTCACGCCAAAATGCACTTTCCCTTCTCACAGAACATCAAGCACTTCTTAACATTTCAGTTTACCTTTCCTATCTCATTTCCTATTTCTCCTTTGTCTCTTCTCGGGGTTCATTGTTTTCGCATTTTCTTCGATCTAATCGCAACTCTCCAACAACCATTTCTATTCTGATTTCGAGTTGTGTCGTTTTCTCATTCTTCGACCTAGTCAAAGTCATCTCTTATTTCCCTTCACAGATACACAACATGCCTTCCAGAACTTCCATCCGAAGCTCGTCCAGCTCATCTGGATCTCCCCCCTCCTTCCCCAGTCCCGACCTTTCTAGAAGAACATCCTTCCCGTTCCCCACCACAGACCTCGACAACATCCACTTCCCCCGCGCATGGGAGGCTGCATGGGAGGCCGCAGGCCAGTCCAGTTTCGAGCGAGCCCAGGCCTTTCTCTTCTTCTACCGCGGCGACGATGTCGCCGTCAACACCGAACTCAGATACATCGCCTCCAACCCCAAGCACCGAGATGTTGCATCTCTGGCTGCTGCGGTACAACAGCGCGTTTTCAGCAACCGCCATGCCAGCTTCAACACAAGCCCGCTGCTGCAATGGGTGCGCTTCATGCTCATCAAGAGCCAAGCGCTCATCTCTTCCAAAACCAAGCCTGTTCGCGACTTCTTCTTCGACCCATCGGTCGCTCGCAACCTCCCTCAATTCCCCGAGGATTCTGTTGAATACGCTTATCCAGCCGCCCCTCTCAAGGTCATGATCGTTGGTGGCGGTCCCACCGGTCTTGCATCGGCAATCGCACTGGCAGAGAAAGCCGGCGCCAAGGTCGAAGTCCACGTCTACGAGGGCCGATGGGTCCAGCAGCCGGGCAGCTCGTTCGTCAACTACCCACCAGGCGCTCGCCGCCGCGACCAAGTTGTCACCCTCCAGGACTCCGTCACTGACCTCATGAGCGAACGAACTAGACTCGCCGTCTTTGGCGGCTGTCCCGAGAGAGTCTGGCCAGGGTCAAGCAACCTCCAAATCCGAAAGCTCGAAGACGGTCTCCTCCGTCGCGCTCAAGACAGCCAATTCCGCGACCTCATCTTTCTGCACGCAAGCCAAGTCCGCAGGGAAAGCCTCGCACAGTATGGCGACTTTCACATCATGCTTGGTGCGGATGGCGCCGGATCCTGGCTTCGCGGTTCCTACTTCGAGGGACAAGAGTCGGTGGTCGGCAAGAGCTACGCCCTCGGAGTGGCTTTTGACAGACCCCGAGGTCTACCTCGCTCTCAGCCTATCAACGTCTTCCTGACAATGGGTCAGACGCGTTATCTGCTTAATGCAAGCGACTTCGACGGCACGGGATACCTCAACATGCAGCTTACTGAAGCTGAGTGGGACCAGATGGTCTCTGTTGACGGCCACCCATGCACCTTTGGTCAGCCCAGCTGTTTAGAAGTGGGCGGTCGTTTGGCCGAGGGGTTCCAAGAGAACCAAGTCTTCGCCCCGTCCCGCGACCCCAACAGCCCTCTCTGGAAGGCCATCCTCGACGGCCTCGAACTCTATGGCTTCAAGGAATGCGAAGTTACCAACATCGTCCGCATTCCAATCGTCGTCCGCAGGATCAACAAGGCAGTCGAGCAGCTGCCCCAATGCGACTGTTCAGCCCTCCACCGTCCTCATGGGCTTGTTGCTCTAGCCGGTGACGCTGCCATGACAGTGCACTTCTGGCCCGGTCGCGGTGCCAACTCAGGCATGAAGGCCGGTATCGCATGGGCCGACGAGGTTGCCCAAGCTCTAAAACGGGGCCATCTCGTCGGTCTGCAAGTCGGATCTCTCGGGATGTACGACGACTTCCTCCAGAAGCTGCAGCAGCGCGAGCACGGCGGCCGCAGCCTGCCCATCGTCAAACAGTCCGGCGACCCGAACATGATGGCCTGGCTGATGGAGAATGCCCGCCTCATCCCACAGCACGTCGCCATGGAATGGCTCGTCGGCACAATGCGCCGCGATGCCGTTCGCATCCAGCAGCGTCCCGACTGGGCTTTTGAGCAGGAGACGAACCTCGAGTACCAGCTCCGTGACATCCTGGAGAAGATGGACCCCATCAGTCTTCAGGAGATGGCGGCTACCTTCCCCTGGCCCACAAGGGAGATGGCTGGAGCCGAGGTCATGCCTATGAGGTCAGTCGTCGACGCTTGTCTCAGACAGGATGGCAGCAAGCAGAAAGAGATTCTCAAGTTGGAGAAGGAAGCCAAGGCGAAGAGGCAGGAGCGGAAGAAGAAGTCCAAGAGCGCGGAGATCACAATGTCGGGAGCTGATCTCTCTCCCGCCTTCTGGGCTACGATGGCGGGGGCGACGAAGCCTGCGCCGCGACAACGGTCTTGGAGGCCATTCAGCTTTAGCAGGACCCCGCAAAGTGTCCAGGGATGATTTTACGGTTAAGATGAATAATGAAACAAACGGGTCAAGGTGCATTCAGCATTGGATAGCGTTGTCTGGGCTTTGGGGAGAGGCGTTTGGGGTTCTTGGACGAATGGATCGTCGCCGGAGGTTGCATCAAAAATATCTTTCAGTCGCTCCTTAGTAGCCTTCATAATTGGGAAATCATAGCGAAATCCAATAAGTGCGCAGATGACCAGAGGACTGGTGGTAAATCTGTGTTCCGTTCCGAGAGGGTCCCTTTGTCCCTATGACTCTGCAGTACAAATGTCCAGTCGTAGCCGCCCAAAGCCTGAGTGGATTGGTCAACTGTTATCTAGGTTGCATAAGGCAGATTTGATGCCTAGTCAGGTCGTCTTTTTCTGAATCATTTCCTGTTGTTCCCATGATTCTGTAGTGCTTATGCTCTCACCTAGCCGCCGACCACGCGACTGGATCGATCAGATGTTGTCCTTGTACGCAGGCAGTAAAACTGGGTTTTATAACAATAAAGGCTTCTCGGTCCGAAGGCGGGGAAATTAGTCTTTCAATCGTCGCCGTTGTTGGTCCAAAATGCGTTGTTGAGGACAGGAGTTTCGCTTCCTTGAACGGGACCATTAACCGAAATAATGAACCTAAGGCCTAACCCGTCGGAGTAGATTTCTGACTTTGAGAAGATCAGTGCTTGATGAACCACGGAGGCCACCTTGAATATGCATAGCTGAGTACTAGGTAGCGAAAATCATTGATGTGCCGTATCTCCAAAATTGAAATGGAGTGTTGTTATTATTATTGCTCTTGCTGTTGAAATATGGTATCTAGGCCTTAGCGGCGAGAGCAGAACTTAGCGTTCGTCGGAAATATGACTTCTCGAATTGAAATCATGGATACTTTGCTTTCCATACATACGGTAGCGCAAGGAATGCAATTGCGTAGGACAACTAGCTCGTGGAATATTCAGTGTCGACATCAATCAAACTTTCAGCAATCACATATCTACAAGGCATTGTGTACATTCGCGGCTTCGATTGGTCGACTCTATGCAGTACGACTATCATTGATCATCGGAAAGGTCTGGTGCAGCAAACTTGGAAGGGGGGAAGGAGAGGGGGGGTAAGCTGACCAATTCTCAATTAACACGTCATGCGAAGCACCGCCGATGATTAATAAAGCTGTCGATGTCCCTTCTTGCATGCCCCGGAAACCCCGCTATCTTTGTCAACAATAAATGTTCCCCATGGTTGCGCAATATTTTCGGCATGGGCCTTTTCTACGTCGTATACCTTTTCGACTGGCGCTTGCGGCGAAGCCATCTTGTCGATCACTCTCAAAGAGCGCTTCCCAATTTAAGCGCTACTTCGCACCAATCCATTGGCGAGAACTGGGAGGCCACGGTTTGAAGCTCAACAAAGAATGGAATGTGGTCAGAAAACCATATCCCGGCCATCAATCGAGAAAAATCAATGTTATCGAATATGTCGTCAATGGGTTCTTGTTCCTCGGTGGCGTTGGCAGTATGATTCTCGCAGCCTCATTCTCCAGTGCAGAAAGCCCCGAGGTAGCCTTGTATAATCCGACAATATCAATTATATGGACTAACCCATTATGGGTTTTCCATGAACCAACACAACAGAGGCGACACGATATTGAAGTAGAACAGGGCTTCAAGTATGCGCCTCTCAATGAGCCATTTCAAACTCGTGTTCTTATCTTACATCCTGGAGACGAGGACCAGCTAGTTGAGTGCAGCTTGATAAGAGCAACTTTGCATAGAGAGCCTATGCATTCCGAATATCCCGGGAGCTTCTCTGGAGTCGGAATCGAGAAGAGTTCCAAGTCCCACCTTTGGCTACCTGCTTGGGAAGGCCACCATGACATAACAACCTACGAGGCCGTTTCGTATGCTTGGGGTGATCTAACAGTCCCAAAGCTGATCCAGTGCGATGGGCAACCAAGGGTAATTTCGCTGAATCTATATCAAGCCCTACACTCATTTCGTCACGTTTACGAGCCTCGAATTCTCTGGGTGGATGCCCTGTGTATCAATCAAGCTGATAACTTGGAGAAAGCGCACCAAGTTAGCATTATGGGAGAAATATATGCGGGTGCGCGCCGCGTACTGATATGGCTTGGCTGTGGCAGTGACCTAGAGAAAGCCTTTGGGCTATTGATGAGAGGTCAGCTATCTCAACTGAACTTGATTCAACATCTTATGTCTGCGCCATGGTTCAGTCGGGTTTGGTGCGTTCAGGAGCTGGCGCGCGCAGCCGACCCTGTTGTGACTGTGGGCAAACGAATGGCCCCTTGGGACCTATACGTACGCCAAAGTCGATTAGCGTTGAAAGAAATCAAGGGAAAAGCCAAGACTAATCAGGACGGTTATCTCGACCATGCAGAAATTTTGGACGATATTCGCAGTCGCTACGAGAACGTCCAAAAAAGGCGATTCAAGCAGCCTGGACGAAGACAGAGTTACTCGAGTGCTTGGAAGGCCGGTGGAGCAAGCTTGGTGGAGCTTCTCTTTCTCACTAGAGACTTCAAAGCCACTGATCCCAGAGATAAGATATTTGCGCTCGTTGGCATAGCAAGCGATGTTCAGGAGCAGGACGTAGAAGTCTTCCCGCGGTACGATCTGTCCACAGATGTTGTCTACCGTCAGCTTGTCCTCTGGTATCTCATTCGGAAACGGAATTTTGGCATCTTCTCTTTCGGAGGAGGTCGCACTCCACTGAGTGAAACTCACATGGATGACCTACCCAGCTGGGTTCCCGATCTTACACAGCCAAATGCATTCACGCCTTTCCAGAAGTTGCCCCATGGTTACAACTACAGCAAGGATAACTTCTACAATGTTTTCAACTACCTGGAGGAATGGCTTACAATGCTGAAAGCCAACGAGGACAGTCGCATTGAAAAGCTGCAGTTCTTTCACACTGACGTTCACAACCCTGTATGTGCGGGTTGGACAGACTGGAGAGACCGATCTCTGCTGGCCAAACTACCGCCGATCAAAGTCTCTCATGCGGGAAATGTACTTCACTTGAGAGGGAAATATGTTAGCACAGTTTCCCGTTTGACTGACCACTCGTCTGGTCAGCTCATCACGGATATAACAATCTCGTCGAAAGATGCACTCGAGCCCTCATAGAAGTGGCTATGCGATTGTTGGGAGATTTTATTTAGCGTGATGCTTGAGAGTCAGACAGACAGTCAACTGGCCATCTTATTTGACTGCACTTGGAGAGCAATCATCTGTGATACCACAATGGCTGTCGAGCGCGATTTGGGCTTTGTTGCAGGAGATGATGTTGGAAATGGGTTTCGAGCATCATTCAACAAATTCCTTCATATGAAGCTCAAACAGGATGATGAGGACTTCCGAAGGAGTTCGAATCTCAACCGAAATCTGGAGAGATCGTACAACAAGGCTGCTAAGGCTGATACTAATCTATCTCATCGCCAAATGTTAGAATCCTTTCAATGTCATGACGACTTTTGGCATCGATTCATCGAACCCAAAACAAAACAAACACGACGCAACACCGCGGGTAGTATGCCTGAGCCAAACACCAATTCTCCAAATGCCTCGTCTGCCAGAACATCGGATAGTCATAGAAAGCTGCTTCGAGCTGTGAAGGAGGGCATCGACAAAACCTTCGCATACGATGCTGCAAAGATATCGGAGAGTGCAGCAGCTGTGATCTCAAGCTACAGGTTTTGGCATAGAGGGCGGCGCTTTGGCATTGCAGGTAACGGCAGTTTCATTTCTACTCCAGACTCTGCGCGCGAAGGAGACGTCATCTGCATGTTTGAAGGAGGCCGCGTACCCTTTGTACTGCGGCCTAACGAAGACGGTCTGTATTCCTTGGTAGGGGAATGTTACGTGCATGGACTTATGCATGGCGAGTGGAAGCGGCCGAACAGGAAGGTAAAGTTCCAGACGACGTCTTTTGCTCTCAAATAGATCCCTGGGCTATGAGAATTCAGGCAATGTAAAATGGCACAACGGAATCTTTTTTCCTTCAATACGGAGCTTCACCAATCGATCTAGAATTATTTGTTGCCTTCAACACCAGCGCAGCACCCCATTCAATCCTATTCAATTAATTCAACTAATCAGCTAATTAAAAGAGGGCTTTTTTTATAATTAATTAGCTAAAATAATAATACCCTCGTTTTAGATATTTTAATTAATCTGAAGTTAGCTAGAAGAAGGAAAATCTAGTTTTTAGACTAATTAGAATTTTTAAAAGATTTTTAAAAAAAATAAAAATATATTACTAACTATACTTAAAGAAATTTACTATTAGTAATATAAAGACTTATAATAGGATTTAAACCTATAACTCTATACTTTATTAAATAAAGTTAGGAATTATATTACTTAACTATATAAGTACTAATAAATATATAAGAAAATTAGGATTTTAGCTATAGCGCCAGCCTACTAAGCCCTCGCTAGGCCTCTACTGAGGTTTAACTAGATTAGTTAGCTAGGCCCTAAAAAGGGGCGCTATGCGCGTAAGTAGCTAGAAGGGCTAACTTACTTAGTTTATAGTAATTAACCTCTATATTACTACCCTCTTATCCTTCCCTAGCCTAGCTTCCTAGGCTATACTATTATAATTAAGTAAGTTCTACCTACTATAGGTAGCTAGTTCTAGAATAAGTAGTAATATAAGATCTTACTAAGCTATTACTAATAACTTCATAGCACTAAGTAATAAAAATTTTACTTTAAAAGTAGCTTCTAGGTCTAGAACCCCTCTAGCTATAGTTACTAATATAGCCTTAATCGCTAAGCTTATTATAACTATTTAGCGCTAAGCTGACTAGAATAATATACTTATTAGGGCTTTTTCTAAGTACCTAATACTAGCTACTAAAACCTCTGAAGTTTTAAAGTCTTAGGCCTATAAGTATAAACGCTTATTAGTATATACTTATAGAACCCTTACTAAAGATAGTATACTAGCCTAAACCTATAATTAGCTAACTACTATAGAAGATAGTAATACCCTCTATTCTAATACCTCTAAGGCTTAGAAGATATACTAAGTACTAAGTAAAATATCTACTACTCTATAAATATAGTAGTATAACTATTAAGCTAGCCTTATAGCTACTAATAGCTCTATATAAGCTAACTTCTTAGCGTTTACTCACTAAGAATATATTAACACTAAGTTTTAAGAGCGCTAGTTATATAAGCTCTTTAATAGCCTCTATTAAGGGCTAAACTAGTAGCCTCTCTAGTTCTTTACTAAGTAGTTAGTAACCTACTAAGCCTTTAAGACCTTAGATTTTAAAAAGTCTTAAGCCTAAGCCTTTACCTTTTTCTTTTAACTTTTACTTTAGCTTTAGTAGGGGCTTAAGTACTAGAAATTTAATATATAGCAGCTTTAAACTATAGCTACTACTATAGAGTAGCTATAAGATATATACCTAGAACAGTATAGCTACTATAAGACAGCTAGTAAGCCCTTAGTACTATAAGCGTGAGAGGCTACTACTAAACTAGCCCTAAAGAGGGTATATTTTAATTATAATACTAATCCCTACTAAAAGTGTAGTAAAATAAGCTACTAGATAGCTAATTACTAGGTTAATAAGTAATACTAGGAGTGTTCTAAAAAGAGGCACTTTATAGACTAATACTATTGCTAGTAGCCTACTAGGTCTCTACTAGGTAGTACTTATATTAACGTAATTATAGTTAAGGACTACCTAGGCTAACTAAGTTTAAAAGACTTTAAGGCTTATATTAACGCTATACGCTGTATAATATTACTAGCTACTAATAAAGCCCTTAGCTTAGACTAATAAGCTAAAGAAGAAGAATAGGATAATAGTCTTAATACGTTAGAAGATAAGTAACTACTAAGTACTTAGGGGATAGTAGGTAAAGCTAGTATATAGGTGAAAAACCTAAAGCTAAGCAGAAGCTAATAGTATATAGGTAAAAGACCTAAAGCTATATAGATACTAGCTTAGCCTAATAGTATATAGGTGAAAGACCTAAAGCTATATAGGAGGTAAAAAACTATCCCTAATACCTAAAACTACTAAAAGCTTAAGGGGCCTCTAATAAAGCTAATAGTATATAGGTATAAGACCTAAAGCTATATAGAAGCAAAAAGGATTAATTATAGGCGCTATAGAGGGTTTAAATCCTTATATAACTAGCTGTTACTACCCTGATGATATGCTGCTGATCGGCGAAAGAGTGCTTGCTGAATTTGAGGGCTTCGTTTAGCGTATAGATATTATCCTACGTGGTGATACCCTTAGCTGTTTGCTTATAGAAGGGTGTGCCTTGTAGGGGATTAGCGTTCTTATATATCTCTTATGGTGTAGATATTATGAAGCTTTAAGACTTATTATAGGTTAATAAGGAAGAGGAAGAGGAAGAGGGATAAGCATAAAGCCCTACGTATAGTAGAGTTTTTATACTTCTAGCTATGAGAACCTCTTCTGACGACCTCTTTAGTTAAGAAGTTATCTCTTATGTGGTAGCGTTACTAGGCTATAAGAGCCTTAGTAACCTATTTAGCCCTAATATGATCAGCCCCACTATGTATAGCGCTGCTAGCCCTACGCTGCGTAGCTAGCACTATTACTATTCTGCTAGTCTATTCAACTAAGGCGCACGTTTAACTTTATGTAGTGATATTCAGAGGGTTTACTTACTAGTAGGAACGTATAAGGTTTCTATACTATTTTCCTTAATTAGTAGAGGGTATAGGTTAAAGTACCTATATAGTGTTTCTAGAATTATGCCTATATATAGGGTGAATTTTACTGTAGTCTTTTTGTGGGGGGGCTGCATCATAACTATAAACTTAAATCCTTATATAAGCAGGAGTTTTTATTATTTTTACTATAGATTAATAAACTTAGAGACTAAGCCCTCTAGAGGGGGGGTAATTATGAGAAAATTAGGATTTTAACTATAGTACTAGCCTACTAGGCCCTCACTAGGCCTCTACTGAGGTTTAACTAGATTAGTCAGCTAGGCCCTAAAAAGAGGCGTTACGCATATAAGTAGCTAGAAGGGCTAACTTGCCTAGTTTATAGCAATTAACCCCTACGTTACTACCCTCTTATCCTTCCCTAGCCTAGCCTCCTAGGCTATACTATCATAAAATATTAATAAAGTAATTTTTATTTAATAAATACTTTATAATACCTATTTTTTTAATATATACTACTATAAAGCTAAAATATACTTTTAGTTATTAGGCCTAATTAATGCGTTTTTAGCTTCCTTACTAAGGCTTAAAAAAAGCTTATTTTTAACCTCTTTACTAGCCCTTAAAAATAACTCTTTTTTAATATTACTAGTAATACTACTACTACTACTACTACTACTACTACTACTACTACTACTACTACTACTACTACTACACCTACCTCTATACCTTAAAGCTCTATTTATATATACCTCTTAGTATCTTTTTTAACCTCTAGCTTACTATTATAATACTTATATTAGCCTATAATTAATACCTTAATCACTTTATTAGTTATAACTTATTAACTCCTTATAAGATTACTACTTAGATTTATACCTTATTAACTACTAGTAATATATTAACTATTAACCTTATTACTTATAGTAATCTAGAAGCCCTACCTTATACTATATAGAAGGGTTACTACTTTATTAATATTAAGTATATCTTAAAGAAAGGTAGCTAAGGCTATACCTCTTAGATTAAGAATAAAGGCCTCTTTATCTATAAGATCTTTTAAAGTAGTACTTAAAGTATACTACTTCTTTACTCTACTTTTAACTATACTAATAATATATCTAAGTAATATTTACTAGGTTTACTAATACTATAATAAAGTTAAGTATCTTAATATACCTTAGAAGGCCTCTATTATATCTAGTACTAAGGTATACCTTAAGACTATCTACTATATCTTCTAAAATTAATCCTATATTAAGAATATATCTAGTAATAATTCTAATACTAATAAGCCCCTCTTTAAGTACTAATACTTTATTCCTATTACTATACCTTAAAGTAAGGTCTTATAGATTAAAGAACTAGCTTTTAGGTTTATTATTAATACTAATAACCCCTTCTTAATATTTAGTAATTAATATATATAGTATATACTTAGCCTCTTTAATTATAATATTTTTAACTAAATATATTAATTAAAGTTAAGTTAGAAGGACCTACTTAACTAACTCTATACTTCTAAGAAGGTATAGATCTAAGAGGAGATATAGAAAGCACTTACTAGAGTTTATATATTATTTAATCTATAGACCTCACCTAATTAATATATAATTATTACTATCTTTAGCTACTTTATTAATAAAGTAAGTAAGTAGATATAATACTTCTTAGCTTTTTATTACTAGCTTAATACCTACTTTAGTAAGAATATTACTATTACTATTTATATTATTCTTAGTAACTAGGGCTTATTTAATAGGGTTAATATAGCTATCTCTAATAATACTATAAATAATAACTCTTATCTTAAGGCTCTCTTCTCTTCTCTTTTACTTATATATATAGAAATTAATACTAAATAATACTAAATTTAATACTATAGCTATATCCTTAACCTTATTAGTTATACTATTATTTATAGTATTAATAATAAGGTATTTAAAGAGGAGTCTAACTTCTTTCTTAGTTTTAATAGAACCTAAAAAGACCTAACCTACTAGAGGTAGAAAGGCTCTATTAATAAGCTCTAGAATATTATTAAGTATATTAAATTATTATTATAATAATCTAAAAACTTTCTATCTATTAGTAATAAAACTAATAATAATAATAAAACCTTTACCCTATAGGAGGAGTTATTATAAGAGCTAAACTTAATACTAAATAATACTACTTAATAGAACTTAATATATATAATAATTAAATATACCCTACTTAAATATAGCTAGATTAATAGTTATATACTTTATATCTAAGGTTTTAAATATACTATAGATTATATCCTTAGTAAGGATACCTTTACTAATAAGGACTAATAGATCCTTATAGAGTTAAATAATATACTTAAACTACTCTATAAATAGACTAAGAGATATAAAGGCTAAGGTAAGAGTAATAAGTATAGTTAACTCTAGGAGGTTCTAATAAGTATAAAGTACCTCTTAGATTAACTTAAAGACTAGTATAAACTTTATAATACCCCTATTAATAAGGAAATTAACTTTATAACTACTTAACTTACCTAAAGTTAGTTATAATAACTATTTTAACTTATAAGAGTATTATAATACTCTTTAAGAGCTTTAGTAGTAGCTTTATAAGCCCTATTAATTAATAGTATTCTAACTTATATTTAGTCTAATTATATACCTTTATAATACCTCTAGTATAGTACTTTTAACTCTTATAGCTACTTATACTTATTAATTATTAATAGCTAGTAAGTACTTAATAAATACTATACTAAGTTTATAAAATCTCCCCTTTATACTACTATAGTAATTTTATATCTTAGCTAAAACTTATAATAGCTTAAAAAACGCTAGAATATACTAAAAACTTATAAATAGCTTTATAATATTTAAAAAGGATTTTAAAAGTACTAGGAATAATAATATACTAAAGGATCTAACTTTATTAATTATTAACCTTATTTAAAACCTTAGTAAGCTACTTTTTTATTACTTATTATTACTTTAAGAACTAAGGACTCTAAATATTATTAATAATTAAATAGTAAAACTTATAATATTACTATTAATAAAACTAATAAACTAAAGTAATACTTTAGTTTCTTAATTACTAGGCCTATTAATAACCCTATCTAATAGTAGATTTTATATTAATAGACCTTCTTAATACTTAGTAAACTTACCTTTAATATCTTTACTATCCTAGTAATAGTAATAGACTATAAGAGGGTATTTAGCCTTATTAAGTTAGTTCTAATATTATAGAGGTTATTAATAAAGCTTTTATAGTTTAAGAAGACTTAATACTTCTAGAACTAGATTTAAGGTAGTAGTATTACTATTAGTAGTTACTACTTTAAGTAGAGGGGTTAATAGAGGGCTATATAACTTTAGATTATTATATAATATAAGTTTAGACCCTCTAAGAATATTATAAAAGCTTTACTAACTTCCTATTTAGGTAATTTAAATTAAATTAAATTAAATTAGTTAAAATAATTAAAAGTATTATGAAAAGTCATTCAATTAGCTAATCTCGAACCTCAGTTTTGACTTGATTGATTAGTATGCTGCGCTGTTCAATACTGTGACGTTTTATCTTTTCACATAAGAGTAGCTAGCTCTTGGAGTTTCGAATATTCTTATCGTTCGACTTGGGCCGAGAAGACCTCATTGCTATGTTCCCAAGAGAGCCAAGACTGTCCCACTGGGAACGAATCATCCAAAGCCCGTCCGGGCAATCCCTCAACTGCCCATCTTTGAGAAATGAACTGATTACAGCATGATACTCCAAAGAAAATGCTTCTATCAGTTAAGGTAGGTACACAGTGTCGGTATGGCCATGGAGAATTGCTTTATGCCTTTGCTGGAAAGGGCGGTCCGCTTGGATGCCGCTAGCATCCTTTCCAACACAATTGTTACATTGATGCGGTCCCAGCAGAGATCCATGGATATTCAGAGACGAATGTGCAGCGGTTGCTTCTCGCCTTCTACAGAGTTGGTCTCACAATCAGCCAGGAGGTCTCAGGTGGAATGGATTACACGAGTACTTCATTTGTATTGTACAATCATGACGCTCTGAAGCTCCACGGTCGCAAGCCCTCTCTAGTGACGGGCAACTCAGCGACTGTGTAGGATCAATTCATGGAAATACTGAACATCGACGTCAATCTTCCTATCCCAACAATCGCCGAGAATACATGCGAGATATCTACGTCTTTTTGATCTCTCCTCAAGTTCGCCTTTAAACATTTGGTCTGCCTTTCTCAAATGCTTTTCAGCCAAAGTTCTCAGAATGGCCCTGGTCAAGGCTCCAGCGCATGGCTCCTTCAAAGAACCAACGGAACCTTCAATTGTGCCCAGAGCTTCATCCCAGCTCGCTACCAACGCCGCTTGTTCCCACATAGGCCAACGGTCACGCCACTGAGAATCGGCTTCGTCTTCGCATGATTCACTACTTGCTTCGAGGAATTCCAAGTCTGATTGCAGTAACAGCGGAAGAAGCTTGCCGGTCTTCTTGGAAATCGCAGCTATAAAGATTGCGCTATTCCCTGACGAGTCTTGTAACCAAGGATTTGCATGATGATGCAACATGCATGCCACAGTCCCCAAGATTGCAGAAGAATGGCTTTCAGTGTTGGAAACCAGCAACTGCAATGGAGTTGCGCCCTTAGAGTTCAGCTCATTCGGATCAGCCCCTCGCTGGAGCAAAATCTGTACACAGTTTCGAACCGGAGATCGCTTCGACAGTATTGGGTGCTCCAACAGCTCATGTAACATAGAGTTGCCGGCTGTGGTGACGCTTCCTGGTATGAGCGAAAGCCTCGCAACCCTACAAAGGGCTTCCGATAGAGCGAAGGTCGCATTGGAGTGGCGGCCTGGCAAAAATTGGAAGTATCCGGGAACAAGAGGCGTACCGCAGGGGAGAACTGTTTCCGGATTTGCTCCTTTCTCTATAAACAGTTGGATCTCGCTGGCATGTTGTTCTTCATGCAAGAACGATGCTCTTCCTCGGAGTCTCCCGATATTGGCCAGGTAAGCCTGCAACGGTGTTTTTCCATTGGGCAGTTCTCGTGCGATGTCAGCTCCGTGGGAAAGAAAGTGTTCCAAACATGATGAAAATTGTGAGGTATGTGCGTGCTGATGTTCAACGAGCAAGTGGAAAGCCGTTGCCCCGTTGTGGTTAGGGATATTGAAATCGCAGGCTGAGCGCATCAGTACTTCGATAGAAGAAGCGATCGAGGCGGGTTCTGAGTTCGTAATGGCCGGGAGTAATGCTGAATGAAGAGGTGTGTTTCCGTGTTGATCATGCAAAAATGGCTTTGCCCCAGCCTCTAACAAAATGGCCAGATTGGCACTGTTTGACACAGCCGCGTGTAGAGGACACTGTCCAAGGTGCCCCCTAGCATTCACATTCGCGCCAAATCTAATCAAATGATTGACGATGACTTCAGACCCTTTCCCAACGGCATTGTGAAGAGGCTCATTCTCAGCAGTGTCTTTGGTATCCACAGGAGTGCCGCGGTTGAGAAGACATTGCACTTTCTGGCTGTCTTGGTTAATGATGGCATTGTGCAGCTCCATTTTGTCATCTTCTCCAGTGTAGATGTCGCTTGATGGATCAGGAAAGTTGAAGGAGAACTCATGCGCGGCATTGATTGCTGATGGGGTTGCATTTGTGCTATCGTAGCTGACACTACCGCTACTGTTCGAAGTAGACGATACCCTTCGGGAAAGACTTTTCCAAGAATGAGTGAAAGGAAGTCTTCCAAGAGAATGAAGAGAAGTTAACAATCACCTCGGAACTGTTGATGTAGCTGTACTGCGACGGCGTCCGCAAGGCCTCGCTCCCAAGGACGCGGCCGGGTTGGATTCGGCACGATATCTCCTAAGCCCCCACTCTTGTAGCTTGCTGCGGTATGAACGTTCTCTGTGAGCATCATTGTAAGTAGGTTGCCAATTGCGCCTATAGTTGCTAAGAACACCGACTTACGAGGCGTTGAATCCATGCCGCCCACGTATGATTCTCATGACATCGTCGAGCGTCTTATTCTGAACATGGTAGAGATCATGAATGTCCGCCTTGACAGGGTCCCAGTCGATAGTCATGTCGAACAGTCGAACGATTCAGCCATGCCATATGTTTTGTCATCGAACTGAACTTCCAAACAGAAGGCGCCAATTGGTGACACGAGCCAAAGGTTGCGAGTTGTCCAATTCTGTTGTCCGAAAGCGCTCTTGACATGTCGTGATGGCTGCAGGCTCAAGGTCAAAAGTTGATGCGCATGGGAGACGGCAGAGGTCTCTTTGGATCAAGAGTGCTTGAGAAGAGGCGCGAACTGCGTGAGGCTCCGGGAGGTCCTTATCAAAGATGAGCATTGAAATTCGATGTTTCGGCAGCGCCGCCAGAGGGGGCTGCGTATTCTACACCATAGCCCCTCCTTGGTGGCGATGTCTGTGGCGTGGCTGTCTAGCTGCAATTTCCCGAAACTGCAGAAATACCTTGCAGCGTGCTCGTAGGAGCTTATGGACAATCTTACTGGTACTTTGGCCGCGGGGTGCAGTAGTCGCATTTTGCAGTTTGATTCGTTGCCACTCGCCCCGAACCGCTGGCTGCTGACCAACTTCGACTATTGTGAGTGGCCCCAGCCCGGGGCGGCAAACGGACGTGGCGAAATACTGAAGCATTGGATTCCGCCTGCTATCGTATGATGTCGTCATTTTTATGGCGTTGAGAGTGCAGAAAGAGAACCCGGCAACTGTTTCGAACTTTTGGGGGGCGGTCACTGAAATCCCACCATCGTCGCCAAATGTGAGGAGTTGCGGCAAAATTGCAAATTCAGATTGAATATGCCCTAATGACTCTCAAATTCAGCTTTGGTGTTCTCCGTCTGCGCCTATTGCCATGGGATGGAAAATGACGGCCTAGAGGTTTCGCATGGAGCATTTGATCGTGGTGAATACGTACAAATAGGGCCATGGGCATGCTGGTTAAGGCTTGACAAGTCCGGACAAGTTCATCGTTCTCGTCACTTGCTGTTGCACACTTGAAGTTCTAAGACCAACGAGGCTTTTCACTGTGTAATGCTATGATGGACGCAAATTATCATGCGAATACGAGGTACGCGTTTCCAGAGACCCTTCACCTTGGTTGTCCCCGATATGTTGGGAGGGAGAAAGCGTTGGTGAACATCCATATCATACGCTTCCAAGTTTGCGTCATCTTCCTCATCGATCTCAGACGGCTGATTGAAATAACACTTTGCAGTACCCATCAAAACTCCAGTACGAAAGTAAAGCTTCTTTCTGCCGAAAATCTTTCGGCGCTTTTGGCCACACAACAAGATGGCGCAGATTGCCTCGAACTTATTCAAGAGCAAGATCGACAAGCGATATTGCGGGGCCTGCGGGCATTAGGAGGGAAACACAGTGTTGCGATCGAAGAGAAGGTTGCAGTCTCTCAAAAGGGTGCAAGCCCAATGGAAAGGCTTTTGGGGCAATCTCAGGTCGTGTCGGACAAGCAACGTGTCACGAGCAGCCACCATGCAACGAGGCCAGATTCTGATTGACTCCACGGGTACAACCAATCAATTCTAGTCCTGCATGCAGGAACCATAGAAAGTCCATACACCATTAACACATTCAAAATGTTGCCATTGAAGCCTGAAAATGCAATCGCTTATGTGAGGTGCAAAATGTCGCCCATCAGCGTTGTTCACCGCTATTTCCCTCATTTCACCGCTGAGTATTCTTAGGCACCTGGCCACCTAGGCACCCAGGCACTTCCCTTTTGGTAATCATTCAGTGCCTTGAAAGCTGGTAAGAATGTGGGCAACTAGGCAGGCAACGCAAGCAGAAGCCGCGGGTGGCAAATTACATTTTATGGCCAATCACGAGCCTAGGCAGGTTTATTTGCTGGTCCTCATATGCACCAAAATGCTTTCTTTTTCCATTTCCTCCACGGTCCTAAATTTGACCACCAATCGTGTATTTCAGCACGAGGCCGCCACCAAACAACAAGACGTTCCCAGCAACTGGCCCCATCATATTAAGAACACTGAACGGCACCAGCCACTTAACATCAACAGGCTGCCGGACAGCATGATACAGATACCATGGCGAGGTGACGGTGAGCCACGTTGAAACCCAAATGTAGCCTACAATCTTATGCCACAGTGGAACGTTCTTAGAATCTTCTGCACCCGAAATGCGGCGCCACACTTCCTGAACCCCGTCTTCAAGCATGATAGCCACAGCAAAAGAGCCGAAGAAGGCCAGTGTTGGTGCTTTAAGGGGTGGCTGCCAGCAGAACATGTCGAGCATGACGTGGACTAGACCCGAACCCATGAAGACCAAAGCGATGTTGAAGTAACGCTCCAGGCGTGAGGGTCGAGGAAGGCGCAACAGGTCTCGGCAGAGGTAGTTGCTGACTGATGTGAGAAACCAGCGGCAGTGCTGGTGCCAAAAGATGCTGCATATGATGTGAGTTGCAAGACTCCAACGCAAAGACGGTGTGAGATTTACTCACCTCCAAAAGCCTCGGATTGTGTACGAATCCCAGATGCTTCCAAAGAGAGGTGGCCAGTCCTCCGGAGATGTCATTCCACTCACGACAGCAACTACTGATAGAACCCGATAGAGAATGTCTATAGTTACCCTGGCCGGCGCTAGCCATGAAATCAAGCCAACCGCTACACGGGCTCCCCATTGCTCCCCGTTGGCGTTGATATACAGAAACTCTTTACCAGTACCAAAGAGCTTCTCTGCATCTTCCGGCGATGTGTCCAAAGAAGAGAGATACGTGAAGTCGAGAAAAAGATACTGCCAGAAGAGGACTTGCAACTGTCGCACAACCCACGGGCCCTTTCGCAGCTTGCCGTTTTCTATGTGCTTGTCAAGGCTCTGCGGAGACGCGTTGATGCGTGAGATCTGCCACGGCGTGCCGATGCCTCGCAAGTTGAACATCAACCCAACGACGCCGTAAAGTTTGCGACCAAGCCCATCCGACGACTTGTAAATGTTCGCCTTCATGAAATCTCCGGCATCGAGACGCGTGAGCACCAGGAAATTGCAGCATTGCAGAATGACAAGACACAGTTGTCCAATAAAAACGCTGTTCAGAACAAGACTTGTCGTTGCGCCGGATAACTGCTCGAGTAACCGTCTGGCGATGAAGGGGACGACCGCAATCCAAGCGTATCTTATCACGGAGCCAGGGCCTGATTTTGGCATCGAAATGAGGATTGCCGCCGAAGGGACGCAAACGCCGAGAAGGAGGAGTGCCGCCTTCGCGCAGCTGATGGCCGGGAGTTCTCGGTTGGAAGGCGCCATCATCGTTTCCAGTATGGCATTTCGAGTCGGTTTAGTATCGTGAGCGGTGAGGCGCACAGGCACGGTTTGAAATCTCCTGGAGAGTGAGCGTCGTCTTTTTATCCTGTTCCCCTGACTAGGTAGTGTGGGGACAGGACAGGGAACACTGAAAACGGCGACTCCACGTTGGCTGTCACTGTTCCTTTAAACCCTTTCAGTGTCGAAGGAAGACGCGCGCTATGGGACTTTTGACCTAGTGTAGGATCCTGGTGCGCTTTTCCCGAACGGCTCAAGTGCTTACCCCAGCGGCTTCCTGCAGCCGGGTTTGCTGGTTTTTTGGCAAAAGCCAAGACCCACATCAGTAAATTGCCATTGTCCCATCCAAGCCAAGGCCATCGTCGTCTTCCCAGAGAAGACTCAAGATCAGATCTTCCCCGCCAAAATCCAATGTGCCTAAATCGAGCTGAGGAGCGAGGAGATTCTCGGTTGCAACTGAAGCTTCTGCGTGCACGTTGTAGTTGTGATCTCTGGCAGGGATCCGCATTCTAGCGCCGTGCCGGCTGCTCTCCGGGCTGCTTGATGTGTTGATTGAGAGCAGTCGTTCGACATACGGAGCGGCGGATTTGTCGCGCCCATGTGCAGAATGGTTTCGGTAACTTTCGAGAGCGTGTGAGAAGCTCGTTAGGACGCGATGATACTGTCCTGCTTGCGGACTCAGACGTCCAAGGAACTCTAATACTCGCAGTGTGTTGCGAAAGGCGGCTCGGTTGTTTGATCCTGTGTCTTGGTCAAGAAGTGAGAATCCAAGAATGAGACCCGCGGCAAATAGCCAAGCCCTGACGATTTATCAAGATTAGCAGTGCATATCTCAATGCATTATGGTTGCAACATACTTGAGAATGCACATGTTTCCCATGATCACGCCAGTGTCTAGTGCATCGGAGCACATCTCAGCCATGTATGCGGCAGCATCGACGCAAACTTTGGCCAGCTCAGCCGTCTTTTCGTTGTCTTCATTTACCAGACAACCGTCAGTCATCACCCCCGCGTCGACTCGACCATCAATCTGAGGCATGATGTGCTGGATGAGGAACTCTCGCGTCGTCGTGATAATCCCAAAGTAATATGTACAAGCGACGTGAATGTTGCCGATTGTCGTCTCTCTGTCCGATGACGGCCGGGATCTGGTGGATGCATGCCTCAGCCCTTGCCGCAGTGCCAAGGGTAGGTTGCTACTCCAATCGCGGATCTCCTCTAAAAAGTCTTCAGCTACCTCGAGGCCGAGATGGCCTTTGTCGGTGAGCTTCTCTACTATTCGATTCATGATTGGGGAGAATTGGCAGGCTGCTGCGACCGACTGGCTTCGATGGTTGGCAGCTACCAGGCTAGTTGAAGAGCCCCCGGTATTGCGCCGCGGCAGACTGTTGGTTGGTCGTCCGAGAATTGAGCTGCAGACTACGTCGAAAAGTCGGATGCTGCGGTCTATGCGAGACCTGTGATGGATTGTCAGGGCCTCCGGACACAGTAGGGGTTGGAATAACTCACCTCAAGCTCCGCTCCGCTTCCGACAGGGACTGGAACTGGTCCGACATGTGCAGGCCCAATACTGACGCCGCTTTGGTTGCGACGCCGAGATACATGAACGCTGCGTTGCGACGGCAGGCGCCAAACATGTAGAACGCCATCAACACGAAGCCCCGCCCCATGTTCAGTGTGAGATCTGTCAAGAAGCCCTGGAACGAGAGCTTTCGCGCTTGGGAGAAGTACCGGAATGCTTTGGGCATGTCTTCAGGTCGGCCTCGGCATTGCGCGCCAATGGCAATCATCATGTACAGACATACCCGGCCCTCGACGTCTGTGGCGAAGCCGGTGCTGGAACTGCTGACGCTCTTCTCCCTCGGATGAGTTGCGTCTACGAGGGTGTCAATCTCGGACTTGTCGAAAAGGTCCAAAAGACCGCTCGACTGTAGAGTTTAGCCATTGCGATGAACACATGTATGAGAGGTACTCACGGCATCTGAGAAGAGTTGAATGAGTTCTAATTTCTCCTCATCGCTCATGTCGTCCTGGAAGCTGTCTGGTTGCTGAAGTGGCACCTGCGCCTCGAACATGCGATGGCCATTATGGCTGATGGTGAAGCCATTGGAACCGAGGATGTTGCTGAGGCTGCCTCTAAGAAATTGAAGAAACGAGATAGCCGAGGCATTGCCGACGAAGACTAAGAAATAAGTTATCGTCAGTTGATTGAATTGAACGAAATGGGGCCTTCTTGATCTTACCTTTCTCCCCGCTGCATGTGTGCATCATCACCGGCCGAGGACCTGGCGGTGCACTCGTCTTATTCAATTCCCTCGCATTAGAAACACCTTCACGGTTTCGCGATCTCGGCTTCGTACGCCGGTGCCTCGGTGAACTTGGCCCATCACTACGACTCTCCAAACTGCCTGGCGTAGCCTGTCGCTGATCCGTTCTGCGACGCGTTCTCGCGCGTTCAGAGTATTCGCACGATGCCCCGTTGCCCCGATTCACGCAGGGCGAACACGGTGATCCTCCGTCGCATCGTTTCTTGGTGGAGCGGCACGCGATGCATGCTTTAGCCGACCGCTTCCGGTCCTCCGGTCTAACCGGTGGGCGGCCCATAATGTACTGAAGGTAGGCGGGTCCGTTCAAGCCGAGCGGATACGGGAAATATGGGGCCGGGCGCTGGCCCTGGGAGGTCGATGTTTTGGAGAAGTGGTGCGGTGGTGCAATTGCCGCTTGACAATTCAACCGAAAAGACGTATGATATTGCAATTCTTCGGATGGAAAAATGACCCTCCAGAAATCATTCTAGGAGGGAAAAGACCCCGTAAGACCGCAACACCGTAAATCCGTATGTCAGCGGCGGAAGAGATAACTTAGTGAAGCGCCATTGGAAGATGGCTTATCTGAGGATATTGGGAGGGTCGTTGACCGGGATGTTTGCACTTTGTGGGTGCTCGGCCCGCGCACCAACCTCCCCATCCGCAGGTTTGTAATGCGGCACGTACGAATGGAGCTGTTTGACTAGCGGCTATGTTAGTTACGAGTTGGCATTGTTCATCGCTATTTAGTGTGAATCAAGAATGTCATTTTGCAACCTAAACCACGATTTCGGCCGGCGCTCGGTCCGGAACACTAATACTGGGGGATAAGTTGGAGAGGCTTATCGCCACATGGGACGATCATGCGTAGTTGGCTTGATGTCAACTACGGGGAATATTTATTGCACTTGATACCCATCCTGACTTGAAGCGCGCCTCGGCTTACCACCTTATCTTTAAGTACTGCACCGGATCAGAACACAGGCTTCTCAATCATGCCTTACGCCGACATCACCAAGCCTCCCAAGCCCCTGCCTCAAAACCATCTGGAGGCTGTGGGGAAGGGCATTTCTCTGCTTCTACCACTGTCACGGCGAGGAACTGGCCCCGGCCTCATCCTGCTTGTGCCCTCCCTTGACAAAGCGCTCGATATCGAAGAAGGAGTACCCTCTTTGCCAGTAAAATGGGCTGAAGAGGGGTACACCGTTGTGGCTATTGAGCAGGGAGCGATGAAAGGAAACGCCTTGGAGGCTTTGCAGGCGGCAACAATAGCTCTCAAAGGCAGCGATAAATGCGAACCCAAAGACGTAGTGGGTCTTGCTGGTAAGTCAATCAATATGTGCTTTGTCGTTGAGTTGCAGTGTCTGACACAGCTGCAGCGTATGATCCAGAAATGTGGAACTCGATTGCAACATCAATCTCAGACTTCCCCGAGATCGTCAGTGCCGTGGTCTATGCGAACAGCTCCGACAAGAAGTCTCTAGCCCCATCGCCGGTACCTGTGGCATTCCACTTTGCTGGGAAGTCCGAAGGGGATGCTGAGCGCTCAAGCACCCGCATGGAGTACTTCTACCCAGCAGCAAAGTCTCACAAGTTTGCGACGCCGTTTCAGGACCATTTCCACTACAACACCGAGGCCCTCTCTCATACCCGCAATCTCACGCTTTTAAAAGGGCAGATGAAGAGCCCGATATTTGATTTGGAGGCCATTTGGGATGAACACACGTGGTATGAGTTTGCGGATAGATCAGTAGAGCACACCATGAGCACAATGGTGCAAGAGCCATACGTGAACCACGTTCCCACAGTGGGTGTCCTTGACATGTAGCGTCGGAAGGTTGATGACTGACTGTTCTCCCAGCTCACCGGTGGTGTCGGTCGCGGCCCGCTCACCGATTTCTACCGCCACAACTTCATCTTCAACAACTCAGCAGACACCGAGCTTGAGCTCATCAGCCGGACGATTGGCATCGACCGCGTGGTAGATGAGTTCATCTTCAAATTCACCCACGAACAGGAGATTGACTGGCTGTAAGATGCGCACTCCCCAGCACTCGGACGACTTGACTGACCTCTTCCCCAGACTGCCCGGAGTTCCTCCGACGGGTCGCTCAGCAGAGATACCTTTCTCGGCGGTCGTCAACATCCGCGGAGATCGGTTGTACCACGAACACATCAGCTGGGATCAAGGGACGGCGTTGACGCAACTCGGGCTTCTGCCAGAGTATCTTCCGTTTCCTGGCGGAGAGCTGGAGTACCGGGTTCCCGTCGCAGGGCTGGAGACGGCGATGAAGTTGAGATCTCGCCACTCGGTGCAGTCAAACGAGATGTTCAACTTCAAGACGAGGAGCCAGAAGGGCTCTGCACAGCCATAGTCCATAGCCATTAAATAGCACACAAAAGTTGCCCAGCCATTGTTCCTGCCTGGACATGGGATGTTACCAAAAGAGAATACGGACTGTCACCGAATTGTGAAGTCTTACTCTCTGCAGGCTCAAAGAGATGGCCAGCAGCATCGTTTAAGTCCAGTTTGATGATTTAAACGTGAGTTTCTTGGAGAACTGCGAAGATGTGTTTCTGATAGTAAATATGTTTGATTGTAAGACATGACGTATCTGGGTCTCTCTGGACTGTTAAAACTTGCTCTCAATACCTTGTGTTGCCCTCTTTGTCTTCTCTTCTCTTGCTGCGAAAGTGGGCTCAGGGCTGTGTGAATATGGCTGTTTTATGTGAATGTCAAAGGCTTCTGAGCACAATTGACAATTCTGGAAGGAATTCTATACATTTTCGTTTTGTTCTCGAACAATACACATCGCCTCCGCATTTCACGAAATTCACATTTATATCTTGAGCTTCATTCGGCCTGCCGTCTTCCAAAACCATCAGCCTTGAGCAGCCCATGAGTCTTTCCTGGTCGTCTGGCTACTCGTTTATCCCTCACCCTCTCTAGATATATTTCTACAAGTCAGTCCCTCGGAACGTTCGGGTCACCTCAAACTGCGGTCTATCATGTCTAAGATGTTCGACCTCAACCAGCTTACCAATGGCGTGAGCCCGAAAACAGATGGCACCTCGAGCAAGGAAGAGCTCATGGGCGTGTATGAAAGGCTTAGAGATGAGCCTGGCCTCAAGGCCGTCGTCTCTGCGGACGATCATGAGCTCCTGGCCAAGATGTTCCTTGATAGGAAGAGCCTGACGCAAGAGGAGGGAGAAAAGGCAGCGGAGGATGCTAAGGTAAGTTACTATGCTATGATTTGCTGACTCATTCCTGGCCACGACTTTAAAGTCTGGACCTGGTGGACGGCCGCTTTTACCAGAAGTCCGAAGGCGGTTGATGTAATTCTTGTTGCAATGAGATTTGCTAACAAAAGTTTCAGAAACTATGGCCTGCTTTGGTTACACTTGGCATGGGTCAAGTCCTCACAGGAAGAGTCATGCGCATCATCTCGGAGGTTGCTGCTAAGCTACCCGAGGATTGGATATTCGAAGACGAAGCGATGGGTTTGTGGTTGTTTCTCATGGTGCGAGAGGCTGAGAAGCATGAGGGGGACCAGACTCCAACCGTTGACTGAATGGGCGGCCGACTGGATGGCAACTCGTCTCTCACACTGGGGAACCTGGCTAGAATACGTTGTTGGAAAGACATTGTTTCCAAGATATGTATAAACCTAGACCGGGGCGAAGCGGCTGATTCGCATGTTAGTTGAAATTCAATGGGATAATCAGATCACAGTGTTTCCACAATGTCAAAGTCTCACGCCGCAATCCAGTCTCGGGGCGGAACCAGAGTTTCTTGGCTGTTGGTCTGATCCCCAAAGACCGATCATCATGGAATAGGGTTGTTGTTTTATTACACCATACGGTTCATGCGGTCCATGCGATCCATCCGGCCCATCTCGTAACTTTCATTATGCCCATCGTAATCACTTCTCGTGTCGTACTGCACCACCACCTCGTTTGTCTTGACGATCTTGCCAAACTCCACCTCTTCCTCATCTCCGAGGATGCTCTTGTCGCTTCGGTCGTCTGCGAGCTTGTCTTTCCTTCTGACGGAAGGCTTTCGTGTTGTCGTCGTTACTGTGACGGTGTTCGTACGGGTGATGCCACCGCCGATCTGAGACCTGCCTGTTCGGGTACCGGTGGATCTGCCGTAGTATTTGCGGGCGGTGCTGGCGACATCGCGGACGAGGACGCGGAGAACGGGGATGGAGGCGGCGGCAATGGTTACGCCGGACTCGCAGGTTCCCCAGATGACAAGATCACTGCCGTCGTCTATAATATTGATCAGTCGAAGTCATTGAAGCATGCTATGCAGGACCACTTACACGTAAAGTCACCCGACAGGAGAGTGGGGATGGTCGTGCACTTGACGATCGCAGTTGCACCGGCACTGGAGATCGATCTTAGCCGGAGGTCTGGAGGAATGGAGCGATTGTACCCACAAGAGACCCATACTCATGGCGATGGCAACGCCGATCTTCTCCTTCAACTTCATTTGAAGGCCCCAAACCAACTTCCAGGGCAGCATTGCGAGGAGAATATCCATCAACGCGGAGTATCCTAGAGTTCTATTAGAACATGTGCACAACATACTCTTACTGGCAACATACCGGCAGCAAAGACACCGTAGTACGCGGCAACTTTCGGATCCCAGCACTTCCCAGGGAGTTCAGGGTGCCAGTACTTCTCGATCGGCGCACATTGAACCCAGCCGGCCATCGCGTTGAGTGCCATCAGCAGGTTCATGCTGACGATGGCGAACCAAATCAGATGTCGTGTCCAACCTTTCCCTTCGATCCTTAGAAGCGTCATCGCGAATGAGGTCTTACTCCATACCGCTGCCGAAATCGATATCGTGCTGGAAACCTGGCCATTTAGGCCGATCGCCGGGAGGTTGACGGGGTTGATTTCGAAGACATGCTTGCCGAAGCCGAGGGAAACGTTGACCGAACTCAATATCGCTGTGATCAAAAGGGCGACCTGCTCAATGTCAGGGTCGGCTCATGATCGGGAACGACACTGATCGAACTCACCCATGATGCTATGAGCACATGGTCATCCCACCACAGACCTCGATGCTTCTTGAACTTGCAGTACACTCTCAGAGAGAGGAAGAAGGCCGCAAGTGCAACCTGAGACCAGACCACCGCATTGATCGTCGGGCCGTAGTCTGCTGGCCGCCCCATTTGACCAGCCAAAGGGGTGAAAGTCGTGATAGACCCACGCACGTACCAGACGTCAAAAGAGGGTTGATGGAGGAAACAGACCAGCCGTTAAACGAAGGACGCGACGCAAAAAGCGGAAAAGGGAACGTCAAGAATCGCAACGCAGCGAGCGATGGGGTATCAAAAGGTAAAATAGATACAAAAGAAGGCAAAAGTGGGAAAGAAGGGAACGTAAGATGGTCGCATCCACCGGGCGTGTGGGGGATGCCTCTCGAGATATGCACCATCGGTCGCCTTGGCTATCCACTCTTGGTCCTTTCAGCCTGGCCGCCAGACCCTGCAAGCCCGACATAACCATTCCACTGGGCTGCAGATTGGCCCTTACCTGGTCTCGCTCCCGGTATGGAACACAGATGCCGGTGATCGACTTGTAAGGATGAGACGATGATCACGCAAAGGTGCTGACTGGATGTAGGGTTGGCCCCGGTTTCACGTAAGGAAACCGGGGAAAAAGAAGGATGGGCTTTCTAGAAGAAAAGAAGCACAGTCACTCGTCTCAGCGTCTGCGGTGGTGGCCTTTCCATGTGGCGTGTCAGGAAGGCGGAGTCCAGCAGCTGGGCATGACAGAATGCCAGAAGCCGTTCATAAAGGGGGAACTGGTGTCTCTGCGTGGTGGTGTACGTGCTGTCATGGATATCCTGTTCCGTATTGTGGGGGACGAACGACGAGACACTAAGAGAGGCTCATGACTCGACATGCAAAGAAAATTGGCCGTGTTCTGTCACTGCTGCGGGCACGAAGTCTCTTGGCGGAAAAGGGAAGTTTGGGGGAGAACCTGTGGTCTTGTCTCTGTTGTCCTTTGCTCGGGTTCGGTGTCGAGAAACATTCGCCGTCAAGTTTTACTTGCCGAGAGTGGAAGGGGCCCCGGATTGGGAAGTTCGTCGTTTGGGATAGACTGCGCCTCGCGTCTCTGTTAAACTGGCCGCGGGAGCAGCCCCGGCAGGGGTCGGGTAGGCGATGAACCCGCCCTAGCGCAGTAGTCAAAAATGATGGCTTAAATTGATGAGGAAGGTTACATTGACGTCCATCTAAGCTGTGCACGTCGCATTCTGGATGCTGGATGCTGCCCCTTAAAGTTAGGCAGACCGGATGGCAACCACAAGGCGTGCTGCGTGCATGCGGCCAAGCCCTTCCCTCATCACCCCCCTCTCTGGAAGATCACCGCGGGATCGTATCACGAAATTCAGAGGAATCCCATAATCTCGCGTGGGCGAACGCAAAATCTGCCGGACGTGAGCTGCTTTGCCGTCTTTCCCAGAAAAACCTGGCATTTCACGATCTGTGCAGGGATGTTGCCCGAGTCAGAGGCTTTCGGGCTGCAGGACGGGAATCGTCCGCCGCCCCGAGACCGGGTCATCTGGCAGGCGCATGAGCGGACGTCGTCTCAGAGTGTCAATGCGGACAGGGAATTAACCTTTATCGCTCATCGCTCATCGAACGAAAAAAAAGAGAGCCCCGGCCACGATTCTTGCCAAGAGGTTGCACCGCTGGACCAATCGTATGGTAGGGCTGGGGTGACGGGGGAACTGTGTTTCAACCGATGTTATTTCGTCACCAGGTTGCTATTTAGGGGAAAACAGGTGGGTTCCAGTTTTTCGGTGTGGCCGTTCTTGTTAAATACAAGCACATTGCCTGCTGCTTCAAATTCCAATTCCTGATGTGAATCTGGCGTCTTGACCAACTGCCACGAGCTTCTTCCGTCGGTCGGATGATCTTGCGCGCTGAAACGCGACATCTTTGCTCTGCTTGGAACTGTTAACAGCGTCTTATGGACGGGCTACTCCGGCGCAGCCATTGGAAATGATGCACAATTGATTCGGTTTTTAGATTTTCTTTTCTCGCGTTTCTATTACGGATGCATCACTCTTGGCTTAAATCCAAAAGATTGACTCCACGGCCTGGCTGGTTTCCAATTCCACTTAGGAAAGACATGACTTATCAAACCCAGTGGAGCGATGAAGCCCAGGTCAACTTGCAACACCGAAAATTTTGACATTGACAAAATGAATTCTTGACAGTTTGCAGGTCGTTTGCGTCAATGACCCAAATTTCCAGTATTCCTGACACCCTGTCTCATAACCAGCCAAGGTCCTCGCAGTAGCCCTGATTAGGATCAGCCCTAGGTGAAAGGAGGCTATTAGCACAGGGCCACGGACGAGTTATTTGAAGAGTGGCAAAGACTTACATGTATTCCCAGTTCCAATAGCCTGTTTGCCCGCCGTGTTTACAACCGTATGCCTCCTTTCCCATGCCGTCCATACACTCTTTGGTTTGGATAGTCTTCGTTCCCCAGTTGATGTACTGAAATGCGTCAGTGGTGATTCTATGGTTTAGCTGGACATTGATTCGATGTGCAGTAGGACAAACAAAATATTTTTGGACCAGGTTTCATCGGCGCCAGCCTTACCTTGAGCATAAAATCCCACTTCAGCCCATCCTTTTCTTGAATGCAAAAGCGACGTTCCTCCCCCTTATGCCACTTCATTTTGCCGCTGCCCGCAATAGCGTTGCAAACAATTTCCATACGAGTCTTCTTCTTGAGTTCTTTTATCTCCTCCTTCAGAAACTTGCCCTTATCGGCTGTCATCCCCCCGCTGAAGCACATTGCGGCCACGGTAGTAGCGGCTAGGATCATGAAGATTGCGGCTGGTTTCATCTCGGCAGTACGGGGATGCTGCGACAGTATTTGCTGAAGATTGAGGCAATGTTGATTGAGCTTTGAGTCCGAGTGTCTGGTTGATGTGTATGATGGTGATGACAATGTCCTACATAAATACAGATACAAGAAGCTGCTTGATAGTGAATGACCCGGTATTCCATGAGGTACTGTTGCATTCTCTAGAATCATATCAGACGTCGTAAACATAGCCGAGTGGCATTGCACATTGCATTTCGCATCGCAGCTAAGGCTGAGTAACCCAGCTAACAAAGACAGACATTCTTGAATGATTGTTTTCATTTTACATTCACTGGCGACTGAATTACCTCTGAGGGGGTTGGCAAATCTGCCGAGTTTTCAGTACTTCGTTTGTGTCTCCCTATTCTTGCCAGATTATGTCGCCTTCGATCACGTCATAACCATTACACACGAGGGGATAGAACCAAGGATGAGTGGCCTCGAATACGAAACAGATTCTATCAATACGGCGGTAAACTAAGGAAATATTTGATGCTAAGGTGATACCACATTTCACCTCCAAGTCTCGTGATCGTAAGCTCTGTGGATCTCTCCACATGGTGTCTGACAAAGAAACATAAGCTAAGTTAGGGCGATGATGGTCGCTAACTTTGAGTCATCATGTGTTACATTGAGATAACGCAAGGAGACAAACTGTTACATTAGAAGCTATATTGTGGATTATCAGTTGAAGGAAAGAACAAAGAGTCTATCTTTTATCGGTTAATGACCTGGTTGCTTACCAGGAGCAGTTCAATAGGATATCGCGCCCAAGGGCTGGTGTGCACGCATGACCCCATTCTTTGCTACGATGTCGCCAATCCTGTCGTGGCTCACGCCATGAAAACCCTCATGTGTTAGACTTTCAGGGGTTGTTCCTTGCCAGTCTCAACGCCCATTACCATTCTCATAGTGGTAATGTTGATGCCAATAATAGACCAAAGACAGTAGGAAAGCCGGATTGCCTTTGAGACACATGACAGCCCTAGTGAATTGGGTAGTATCTTGGTGTTACTAAGGTCACCTAAAAGAACCACAGCCAAAATACTTAAAGAAGCTGCTCTAGTCTAAAGACTTAGGAATTTGTGTCTGCAGACCATCTGAGCCTCAAGAATTTGCTCTGGAGTTAGTCTTGTCATTGTTCGTGACGAATTCAACATGTATCTGTCTTGGAAAATCCTTATCGCAGCATTGATTTCCACCACAGTGGCTGGAGTCATTCCCACGAGCGACGGCACTCACTTGAACGAGGAATCGGACCTCATTACAAGCAGTCAGCAGGATCTCGTTACTCAGGGAGCAGCACCCACAAACGAGGAAGTCACCAAGCTAGCCGTGGCTACGGCCCTTGTGGAACGATCAATGTAAGGTATCACTCATTAATGAAATCTTTCTATCGCTTTCTGTTGTATGAAGGATAGACCTCTGATCATGATTGAAGTGATGCTTCGATTGAAGCATCCTCTAGAGACACGGATACGATGGGCATCGGCAGCAACCCAGTCATTGACGTGGTGAGGGAAAGCCCGGAGCCAATGAATGATGCCCAGTCATAGTAAGGTTTGATTCCGATGTATGCGATTCGCCATTGAATATTGCAGTGCAGATGAACTGATCACATCTGATCCGATAGCGATGTCATCGTTCGAGACCCTGATGGAAGCGGTATGACTAATATTACAATGGAGTTGCTTGACAACAGATCCCTCGATTGGATGTGGAATATCTCAGGGCTAAGCCGAAGGATGATATTCTGTGTGAGCACCCTCCCCCTTTTCGAACCCCAGCAGATGCAATCGGGTATGGCGGGCTAATCAAACTCGACCTAGATCGCTTGCATCGCTCATTGCAGGACTCTCGACATTCACAGGATTATCGGCAGGACTGCCCCAGAGCAGATAAAACTATAGTGAGTAGATTGAGACCTCCAGAGTAGTCCAACTGATTAAACAAACGAGTAGCTGCGTTTTTTCCAGATGCTTTGCAAGTTGGGCATGTGGAATTCATGAATCTACGGATTATGACAGCGTGTTTTCGGGTGCCGGTCAATTCGCACCTGAAGAATGCGAAGGTGCTTGTACTATCGCGGCTTATTACGACCCTTCTTGGCTGTTAGGAAGACGTGCCGAAAGTTCGTGCAAGAACTGTTGTAGGTGACCGTGGCTACTCACCAACTGAAGCCGCACGGTAGGTATTTATCATGCCGCGAGGTTTCTCCTGACGGGCATCAATGAGGAGAAGGCACGAGTTATGGCAGATCCATGGATGCATAGAAGTACTTGACTGATGAATCGATTTACGGCGAGCAACATGGCGTTGCACATCAAAGAGTGCATCTTACTCTTTGATATCATCCACACTATTAGAATGTAGCTTAAGAAGTCTACGAAATCCAATCCTTCGGACTGCTCAGCCCCAGTTCTTGACTCATTTCAGCTGTCTCTTTCGCTTTCTTGTTGACGCTTTCCATCTCGAAACCGGCGACCTGCTTGTACACTTTACCGATACTCTCCAATTCTTCCTTTGGGACCACGTCGTAGACGTTCTCGAAACCATCTGGTGCTCGTTCTTCACATAGTTGAAGAACGTGGTCGGGGCCATTGGCGCGGTTTGCCATGATAATTCTAGCCGTGGCCGGGAGCCTCTCTGATTCGTAGGCTTTCAGAGCTGCCTCGATATCGCCGACACTCTCGGTAAGAGTTCTTGCCAGAGTCTCCGCGTCGATGATGGCCTGAGATGCACCGTTCGAACCAATGGGATACATGGCGTGAGCAGCATCTCCAAGAAGAGTAAGTCTGCCGAAACTCCATCGCTCGACCGGATCCCGATCACTCATTGGGAACTCAAACACCTTCTCTGTGTCGTCAATGAGACTCTTCATATCGAGACCTCCACATTTCCATCCGTGGAAAGGCCGCTCAAAGACGGACTTGTCCACAGCCTTGGTCCAATCCGTTTTGGGTGGTGTCAGGTCTTCATCCTCCTTGTCTCTGATTCTGAGTTCCGCAATCCAGTTCACCAAGCTCTTGCCCTTGTCAGCGGACCGTTGGCTGATTGGGTATGCGATGAACTTCTGGTCGGCATGACCGGCCCACACCATTGATGCTCCGGTCAAGTAAGGATTACGCTCTAAGCAGCCGCGCCAGAGCATACGACCAGAGAAGCGTGGTGGTCCTTCGTTCGGGTAGAGGATTCTTCTCGCTGTCGAGTTGATACCGTCGGCAGCGATGAGGAGATCGCCTGTCACTTTGGACTGGTCTGCAGGCGCACCATCCCTTCGTCGTGAGAACTCGGCAGTGATACTTTCGTCATTTTGAGAGAAGCCGGTCAAGGCGTGGTTGAGTGTGACGGCACCCTCACCCAGCCGCTCCTTGACTGCGCTCAGAAGCAGCATCTGGATCTCTCCTCGGTGAATGCTGAGCTGCGGAACAGCATAGCCAGCTTTGATGCCTCTCGGCTCACTAAGAATTGGGTGACCATGACGGTTGTAGAAATTTAATTCCTGAGTCTTGATGCCTGTCTTTTCCAGGGCTTCAATCAAGCCTAGGTTGCGAAGAATCAGCACGGCCGAAGGCTGGACATTGATTCCGACACCAAGCGTTGTGAGTTGCGACGAAGCCTCGAAAATGTGGATGTCGGTGAATCCGGCGGCGTGGAGCGACAAGGCCGCGGCAAGACCACCAATGCCGGCGCCGGCGATGATGATCTTGGGCTGGGGTAGCCGATGGGATGGCATGGTGTCGGCTACGAGACTGAATTATACGCCAATGGTTGCAGCGACAATTGTGCTTAGATGCAGTGGCAGAACTCAATTGAGAAGCTGCTTTGAAGCTCGAAGTGACGTCGCTCCCGAGTTCCGAACTTCGGAGGCGGTGGAGTCTGTCGACTGCCGAGAGTTGATGCCGTGATCTGGAGAAGAATTTTCCTGGGTCCACCAGACTCCATTCAGCCGGCACCCCGCTAACCCCGGATCGTGCGATCTTGCGGCGGCGGGTGATCCCGTCTTGAAGATTCAGCTCCTGGTGGCCATCCATCATCCGATTCGCAGACATTTCATTCGCGCTCAATAGTTTACTGCCACATACCTTATGCATGAGTGGTTAGGGACCGGCTGTTTGACGTCAGGTACGCCTTCTTAGCGATGCTACCTTAGCCAATGATAATTCAATGGAAACGCGTTTAGTCGATACCGTTGAGAATGGGACCTGAGGTTAGCAGCAATTGCTCATATAAAACCACTACTGTCATTGAGCATCCATCATCCGGGAACCTGGCCGCAGCGGACGCGAAGCCAGTTTTGGCAAGGAAACGACGGGAATGTCGCTGCAGCAAAGGACGTAGGTGCGAGGAGAATCTTACCCCTTGAATGTGGCAGTCATCAGCCACGTGTGGCGCGCAGCGTAACCCAAAGACAGCTACCCCAAGTTCCATGGTCCCATGTACCTCAAGCTATCACAAACATCCTGCCGAATGGTATAGGTCTTGCGTTCATGTTAATTGGCAAGAACACTTGCAAAATAAGTCTTTATTAACATAGTGCGTGCCCACGCCTTCGATCTAGCCGATAGTGGGGCACAACACAGATCGATAGGGACCGCTGATGCCGTCATGGAACTCAATTGTGTGTCTCACGGACAACTGGCTTTGTAAGTTTGTCCGAAAGGCTCGATATCGTTTCAATCAGCCCTGCCGCCTAGAACTATGCATAATAGCCCGACGAAATAACGATATATGGACCATACCATCAACGTTATCCAACCTTCCATGTCTCTTCAACTTCTTTTCGCTGGAACCTCTTTCCGTATCATCAGAAACCAATGCTATCGTACCGTTTCCACTTCTTCGCTGCCTTTCAGAACTCTTGGAACCATGCGGACGAGATCGGCTGCCAAAAGTCATGTTGACGACAACCCAAAGGCGAAGAGGAAGTTGCAAGACCTCAAGGATCTCGACGATCTGAAAGACCGAGACAACACAATGGCTGGTGGAAATACCAAAAGACGAAAGGAGGCTCATGAAACATCGCCCAAATCTTCGCCTGCTGAAGAGGAGACCCTGAAGTCGGAGCGAGAAGCTCTTTCCCCTACTCAGAAACTCTCAACCAAAAAATGGGAAGCATGGTCACGACACGCACACGCATCACCTTACCGGACTTCCGGCGCCCAACCCCCGAAGAGTGCCAAATCACGTACGAAATACTGGAAGACCTCCACGGCGATGTGGTCCGTGAAAACTTTGCCGACCCAGACGCTCCGGCCCAAGAATACCCCTACGTCATGGACGCTTTGGTAGTGGCCGCACTTAGCCAGGCGACGAGCTGGGCCAACGCGAAACGCGCGATGAAAAACATGAAGGTCGTCTACGGCTCCACCTTCAACTACGATGCGATCGTCAAGGGAGGCATGGAGAAGCTGATTGACGCCCTCCGTCCCGGCGGGATGCAGAATCGGAAGGCCAAGATTTTGATGCAGTTGTTGAACGACGTCAAAGCTCGCCACGGCAAATGGGATCTTCAACATTTGTTCAACGCAAGCGACGATGATGTGGTCAAAGAAGTCGTCAGCTACTGGGGCCTCGGCCCAAAATGCGCCTTCTGTCTTCTGAGCATATGCCTCAAAAGGGACGCATTCGCGGTGGATACACACATCTATCGCATTACAGGGCTCTGGGGTTGGCGACCAGCTGATGCTTCAAAGGAGATGGCCCAGGCTCATTTGAACGCGCGTATCCCCAATGAGCTCAAGTTTGCGTTGCATTATCAATTCATAGTACATGGCCGAGAGTGTCCTGCATGCCGTGGGAACGGTGATAAGACGGCGGCATGTGAATACAAGACCGCGCTGGCACAGAGAAATGCAGAAATAACAAGGCAGAGCTGCACGAAATAGCCGATTGAAACCCTAAAATACAACCTTCGAAACATTGTTCATCACGATCCTTTTTCTCATGTGCTCCTCTACACATTCTGCGTATGTCGTGCTACCTGATCATGGCAAGTTCATGCAGCCCCGTACATGCACTGGCTTATGTTGTGTTACGTCGACCCAACTTGAGACACCAAACCCACCAATTCCAACTTGAAAACCCTTTCACAATCACATCTCACATCATTTCTGTTAACCCAACGCACGACGCGGACTTCGGGTCAGGCCGCCACTCCGTGATAGTCCCGAGATGAATCAAGGTCTGTCTGTCATTCTGTTCAACGACTGGGTGAAATAGGGGCCGCCCCACATAATTGTCCAATAGCACTGTGAGGGCCGTGAATGGCGTCGTGGCTTGGCCCGGCGTCAAAAACGCACCTTCGCCGCTCTACCACTGGCCCGAAACGGACATGTGTGGATCCTTACAGGCCGCGTTTGAGCTGCTCCACACCGGTCAATTTCGTATCTTGTCCGATTTTGTGAGGCCGGGTCCGATCCGGAAGGAATTCGCACTGTACCGGCGTGCAGACCGCAAAAGTTGATGACGGAGCGTCATAGTGGGAGCTGGATTCCCAAGAAGGGGAGAAGGGCTGACATTACACACAACGCTTGTTATGCCTTGATGATGATTAGAGCATTCGGTAGAGAGGAACAAATGATAAATAGCACGATGTCTTCCAACCTTCGAATAAATCTTCACTGGCATCTCAAACCATTTCTTCCTCAGTCCTGAACATCACCCGTTTACTCTTCACATCATGAGCTCTTCAGCCTCTCATCTCCGCCAGATTGGCATTCACCGCAACCTTCCAACCTTTGACGACTCTGTTGAAGGACTTACGGCCATCATCACCGGCGCCAATGGCATCTCTGGCTTCAACACCATGAGAGCTCTCCTCGACAGCCCCAAGCGCTGGAAGACAATCTACTGCCTCTCTCGCAAGCCTCCCCCAGAGGGTATGATGGCTCTTCTGTCCCCTGAAGCCCAGTCTCGTATCGAAATTGTCACCTGTGACTTCCTGCAAGACCCTGCTTCGATCGCCAAGAGCATGACCCAGGCTGGTGTTCGGGCCGACCACATCTTCTTCTACTCCTACATCCACAAGGATTGGTCTGAAGCGGATGCTCTCGTCGAAAACAACGTCAGGCTTCTCAAGAACTTCCTCGAGGCCCTGGAGCTCGCCGAGATCAAGCCCAGCCGGTTCGTTCTGCAGACCGGCGGCAAGAATTACGGTGTGCACATTGGTCGTGTGCGGACCCCGCTGTTGGAGTCTGACCCGCAGCCGCGACACCTCCAGCCGAACTTCTACTACCCCCAGGAGGACATGCTGAAAGAGTTCTGCGCAAAGCATGGAACTTCGTGGAACATCATCATGCCCACTGCTGTCATTGGCACTTCGTCAAACGCATCGATGAATACCTTTTGGTCCTTCGCTGTCTACGCTGCCATCCAAGCACGCAAGGGAGAACCCCTCGCATTTGGAGGAGACTGGGAGCAGTGGCAGTATGAGTACTACCACTGCTCTGCCCGCATGACTGGCTACCTTAGCGAGTGGGCGGCCCTCGAACAAGGTTGCGAGAACCAGGCTTTCAATACTCAGGATGGTGGTCCTTTCACCTGGGAGCGTTTCTTCGCCGAGCTGGCTCGCTGGTTTGGTGCGAAGGGCGTGGTGCCGCCGCCTGACGATGAGTCAGGACTCAAGACAGTCGAGGGCAGGTCGGGCAAGAAGACACCTCTGGGTTACGGACCTCCGCTGTCGTACAAGTCCAGCTTCACCCTCCGGGACTGGGCTGCCGACAAAAGGAATGTGGAGACCTGGCATGAGATCATGAAGGAGTCCGGAGGAAAGATCACTCACGACCCCTTCAAAGACCCGGATACTTTCTTCATGGGAGACTTTGCTTATCTCAGGTTCGGAAGCGTGTCCTTGAACAAGGCCAGAAGATTTGGATGGACCGGGTTCCTTGACACCATGGAGAGCATCTTCGAGTCTTATCAGGAGATGGAAAAGCTGGGCATGTTGCCAAGCATGCAAGTCGATACTGCCCAGCCACTCGGCTGCTAGACAAATCTTTGCCGGTAGAGAGGCACCAGATAAGATGGATCAAATAGAATTATCAGTGCAGTAAACATATTCCATCTTGATTTGGCCTCATGTTTGTAAATTTACCTGGTGTTAAAGGATGAAATTTGAAATGTTTATGTAGATTAACGTGCCCTTCAAAGATGCATATTCCTAGCTCGGCTATCTCTGGACTGGGGTCAGTTTAACATGCATCTTGGGCTTAGCCCAGAACACAACGGAAGTGAATGTTGGCTTCACGTCCCAATCACGATCTTCTGGGTTAAGCTCGATATCGAAGTGCCATATCAGCTTCGCCAGGAACATGCGCATCATTCCATAAGCAAACCTATTTCACGCGCTGTCAGTTGTGGCCTCATCAGATGAACGGTGGAATGGCTTACCCTTTCCCCAAGCAATTTCTGGGCCCCTTCGCAAAAGGTTGACAGGCACCCTTCTGGTCTGCGGCAAAGCGGGGGTCGTCGGCAGAAGATTTCAACCACCGTTCTGGCAAGTAGGAGTCGGCCTCAGAGAAGTTGGAGTCCAAGTGATGAGTTGCCCATTGCGGTACGCCCACAGTAGTCTGACCATGTTAATTAGCTTGGAAGTTTAAACGGAATCGCAGGCCACTTACCCCCTCAGGAATGAAGTGTCCATCCACCATGCCTCCACCAGGCGGTCCAACTCTTGGGATGACCGCAGCAACAACAGGGCGCATTCGCATGCCTTCATCGATGCAGGCCGTCAAATACTCCATTGTCGCAAGTCTGGAGATAGTGATCTCTTCGTCACTGTCGATGGTTCGAAGCTCGTCAGTCAACCTCTTGTAGGCGTGAGGAGTAGTCAGGAGGTGGAACATGACCACGGACAAAGTCGTGGCTGACGTTTCACTTCCGGCGAAGAAAAGAAGCTGAGCAAAGTTGATGATCTTGTCCCTGGTCCATGACTCCCGGTCGTCATTCTCTGCCCAGATCATCGTCATGAAGTCGGGCCGATCGTTGCCCATCTTCTCCCGCTTTTCGGCTTTCTGCGCAACAATGTCTACCGTCTCAAGCCACGTCTTCAGTCCCTTCTGGCTTGACACCATCTTGTACAGAAGCCTTGTCAAGGGCAGCCTGTTGAACAGTTGCAGAAGACCAATGAAGGGGGAAACGTTCAAGATCATGTCAACAAAGGGATCCATCTCACCCTTCTCCATGCAGTACAGCGACTCGCCGGTAGACAGGTCGGCCATCACATCAGCAGTAGCAAACGTGACCCAGTCAACAATGTCGACGTCTTCCTGGATTCTATCACGGAGCTCCGAGATCATCATGTCGGCGTATCTCTGGATGATGGGTTCTTGGGCCTTGAGAGCCTTTTCCGAGAAGGCGGGTGCGACTTGGCGTCGCAGCGCCCGATGTGTGGGCTGGTCGGCCGAGATCATGGAGTCGTTAAGCGGGGTGCCCCGGACGTCATAGAAGACTGCATCCTTGGGGAACTCAAGCTTGCCTTTGGTCTTGACACCGTAGATATCATCCAGTGCCTGTGCCGACGAGAATGAAAGCTCGTTGGGGCCGACCCTCACCACTGGGCCATACTTCTCGTGAAGGGCTTTGGCATGCCTCCAGTAGTCAGCCTTGTAGACTTGACGATAGAACTTTGGCAGCCATGAAACCGCGTAATGCGATGGGCCGGGAAAAGATTTCAAAGGATGAATGAAAACGTTGTAAAGAACGATGGAGAGTCGGTATGCAACAAACTGCTCTTGGTTAGTCAAAACCATTGAAGTAGGTCGTAACTTACAGCACAGATGGCCAGCTGCCACATAGAACCCATTGCAAAATGAGCGTCTCAACACCTGGTGAGCGATTTGATCTGCGCCGAGTTTGCCTTTGGTGTGCGGTTGTCTATATGCACACAGCTCGTTGCTATACTTCTTCCCTTCTAACTTTGTTTTTCACCGTTTGCCGACTGTGGGCGCAACCTTTTGACTGCCGTGACTCTGACGGAGAAATATGTGAGGGCCAGGATGGCTGAGAAACCTGTTGCTATCCTGTAAAATCATTGATATTAGAGGGCTAGGTTCCAATGCCAAGGAGGCGTCTTGGCCGTGGAAAAGCGGCATTTGAAGTTGCTCTAGGTTCCCATGAGATGTGGAACAATCCGTAGCCTGGAAGTCTCCCACTTATCGAAACTGTCAAATGCGGCCGACCCATTCGGGCAGAAACGTGCCGATCAGGCGTAGCCGGGCAAGGTTGATGAATCGAGAGACTGCCTTCTTCAAAGCGCAAAGCTTTTGACATATCCCACGTGGTGAACTGCCGGCGAACGACGCCCATTCTTGGATATGGAGCGTCAAAGGCGGTAAAATAAGTGGGCACAAACATTCGGGGTCCCCGTGTGGTACGCTTCTCGCGTGTATGGCCATCTGGTCACATCGGCCCTACACACTCACAGGAGGCCAAGAGGAGGTCAGCACAAGCTTCAAGTGAGTATTAACTTAATCGTGTGCCCTGTAAGGCGGAGTATTTTCTGGGGAATCTGTCTTTAAGTGCGACTGCTATCAACCCCAGATTGGGAATGTGCGCCTGCAGTGTCTCCTTGATAACAAGGGGCAACTCAGGGGTCGTGCATCGTCAAGTGAACGGTTGACCCGTAAACACCCCAGCTTCTCCAGTTGAGGTTGCGATAATTCACATGATGGAACCCTGGTGATGAAGTTGAGGCTCGTGAACGGACTCTAGCAGGGCAGAATTTCAGCGAGTAATCTTTCCGCTAAAGGTCAACGTGTGGTGCGCGAGTCATTACTAAGCCCCTCGAAGAGTGCTTTGATCTCCTGTCGTGGATATCCTGATCATGGTGCTTGAGTCATATGGGAATTTGTCCCCATTATTCGGGAAATACCGTTATATCTAATCG